AAATAACATCACGTCACAAAAATGCATATTCGTAGGAATATAATATATAATATATTTATATATATAATTAAAAAAACACGTGGTTCTTGGGCCACTTTGAACTAATGTTCGCAACATTTCGGCCCATGGATCACACAATATCCGCCTGACACGTGAGAGGTGGCTAATCACGATATAAACCCCGAATGATGTGAACAATTTTCTCAAAGAAAGGACATGATGTGCTGCGAATATTCTCATCATTGTTTAATCGGGGCATTGGCCGGGCAAAAAAAAGAAAAGCGCGCACGCGCGCGGCTACGGCATCGCCAGCCACAGTGTGTGTGTATGTGTGGTGCATTATCCTAAAATGCAACCGATAACCACCCCAGGCACCCCAGCTGCCACACCGATTATCAGAGTACAAAAGAGGAATAAGGAAATCAGGGAGAGACAGAGCGGAAACGAGATAGGAAGTGGGTAGGAAAGTGATGAGAGTAAAAATGGGAAGGGAATACGATAGTGATACTTTTGGGGCGCCTTTTTAACCGGGGCGGAGCCGGTGGTATTATCGATAAACGCTAGTACCTAGATCAGTCTAAGAATCTCGTCACCGTGAACTGTCTCCGCTTTAGCCAAGTTATGCTTCCTTGCCCCCGCAAGCCGAACTCTCTCTTTAATCGTATCTCTGCATCTATGCATGTGTGTGTGTGTATACATGTGTAATATATATAACATATCCTCTTGCTTTTTTCATTATCTTTTTTTGCCTTTATTCCTTTATCATACTCTTATTATTTCCTTTTATTAATTACATTTTTTTGCACGGAAAAAACCAGAATTTTTTCTTTTATATTGGAATATTATCATGTGTCACAAAAACCCACTCAATTATGATTAGCAATATCATCCTTATCATATTGTTAATATTAATATTATTATATCCTCGATATTATGCTTTTATAAATAGGATGTGTAGGTAAGAGTAGGTAGATAGATATAAAATATGGTAGGCGAATAATCAGGGATAGTGGAAAAGGGAGAAGGGGATACGAAAGGAATGAAAAATAGATAGATAGCGAATGCAAACCGCGATTTCGCAATTCGCTCGAATTTTCCTTTCCTTTTCTTTTTTTTTCGTTTTTAGAAACAATGATCGCAATTACTGGGGACAAGTCATGTGTATAAGAAAGGGAAATTTTTCTTTCGTCTAATCGCGTGTTATTACTAGATGTGGTTAATTCATCGTTATCAGTAAAACAGTATCGATGACGAAGAAGAATTAGACTTAAGTAAAAACATGAATAAAAATTAACAAAATGCTCGTAAAACACGAGATCGGGCGAATAATCTATCGTCATTCAAACATTTCGTCCATTGGTGCGTCTATCGTTTCGCATTTTTCACATTGTGTGTGTGTGTGTGTGTGTGTGTGTGTGTGTGTGTGTGTGTGTGTGTGTGTGTGTGTGTGTGTGTGAGGAAAGAGGGAGTGCAATGTGAATCTATAAAATCATACACGGCAATATCATATTATGATAGGATGTATATGCGATCTTTTGTATATCTGGTTGGTCAATCTGTGGCATATTCGTTCAGTGTTAAACACTCAATATCTTATTACATATATCATCCATCAATCCTATTATTGTACCAAATCCAATCCGAGAGGCTAACATATATAACCATTATTGTATGTTAAGTGTCATACGTATCCACGTGCATGCGAGCGTACGTATGTGTATGTGCGCATATATGCGCGTGTATATGTATGTGATAATGGAATGAGTGAGTGTGAATGTGCGCGCGCATGCGTAGGTATATGAATGGGTAAGTGTGTATTTGTGTGTGTGTATATATATATATATGTATGTGTGTAGTTGTGTCGTCTCATTTGGTATGTTATAACAAACAGAAGTCTGATATGCTATTCCGTTATTACAATATCCGTTTTCTCTTTTTTTTTATTTTTATACCGTATTTGTCTTCATATTCCGGGGGTGCGTGTAAAATACAAATGATTTGCATATGTTTTCTTTTTTTCTCCCCTTTTTCAAATAATCATCCAGAACAGGGGGTGTCTGGGCTCCAGGGACAGGGACCAACTACAGCCCGCACTTACAACTCTTACTAATTAACTAACAGACTAACAATAACAACAAGTCAACACTCAAAATGTGTGCTGTATGTGTTTCATGCATTTGTAAACATTACATTTTACATTCTACTTCAATCTGTGACTATCATTATCAAATTCATAGTCAGTCATCTTTAAAAACTTCTCTTCCTTTCTTTTTTTTTTATAAAAGAATACAAGAAACAAATTTACTTTTTACATAAAATTTAGAAGAAACAATACACTCTTTTTTATTTCCCTTTCAAAGGGAATAGATTCACTTTAGATATTTGTTTTCAACGATTGATTTTTTAAATATAAAAAAAAGAAACACATTAACAAATAAATATATTATAATTTAGATCCGAGTTTGCCTTGCTACTTGGATACTGTCATTGAAAAATTTACTGTACAAGTGGGTTTTCTCTCGATTGTGAGCAATACTCTTTTTTTCCATTTTCCTTTTTCTTATCCAATAGAACCCTGGCATGGCTGTAACCGAAACCTAATTTAGGAGACATTCGCAGAACCGTTGCAACTCGTTTCATACTCTCTACTTTCACAAAACTTTGCCTGTGTGACTCTTAATAATAATAGTTTCACTGTACACATTTATAGACCAACAATAGAAGGTCTTGTGGCACGCTTGGCGCGCTCCACGCACAAATACACACACACAGACACATTCCGTTTAAAAACAATTTCTCTCTCTCTCTCTCTCTTCCTCTCTCTTTCTCTCTCTCTCTCTCTCTCTCGCACATTTACTAAATATCGCATTCTCGCCCTGCGTCTTCTGCTTGTCTATACGACCTACATTTTCTATCTCTTCAAAGTTGAACTTCCGTCTTTTCGATTTCTATCTTTCGTTTGTAACTTCTCCGTTTTTCTCCCTCATGCTATTTATTTCGTCCTATCTAACACACATGCTTCGTCACATAGATTCAAAACATCTAATCATCGCGTAATAAACCGCAGGCTTCCATGAGTTCTCTTAACTAATACAAGCCATCACAATCCCTATGTCAACATCGCTGATCTTCATCACTTGGCAGTAAACAATGTGACAATGCAGTAGTGGTACTTAGATTAGTATTAGTATCATAATAATAATAATAGTACGGGGTGGGTGGGTGGTCACACTCCGATATAATAATTAGTCTCAGTGGCACATCACTGTACATAATCACAATAACAGTGGGCGATGGTGGTGGCGCAGAATACATTTGCTGCGTATCATTAATATGAAAAAACATTTACATTATTTGAATTCGATTAAGAGCGATAATAATACAAATGGATGATCTCTTTCCTTCCCTTCATCTCGAGTTCCCCCTCCCCCCCCTCTCTACGTTTCGTCAGTCTGATTTTATTTTATTTTTTCCCTTATATTTTATGTTTTTTGTTTCTCACTTCGTTTATCATGCATTTGTTCGTGCATATTTTTTTATCACTCACAGGATTGCAGAAGTTAGCTCCACGACTGATAAGAGTCTTGATACCATTCGTGATCGTCGCCGGAAACACCGCCGAGTGTGCCGGCTCTACCTCCGAAAGCTATGTCACCGCCACCACCACCACTGCCACCATTTACACTCGCCAATCCATATGCATTGCCCAGTGGTTGTTGGGCAAGGGGCTGGTTTCCCCAATTGCTCTGGAAGCGACGCTTAGATTCCCCCTGGTTCTGGTGACCCCCGTCAAATTTTCGTTTACCTGCTGTAAGATATTAAGATAATAAGATCGATAATTATGTGAAAGAAAGTCTAAAGTATTAATATTAAATTAATAAACACTCCTTTTTACCATTGTGCATGACGCTTGTAAAATGTTACATAAAGGAAGATGAAGAAAATTTCAAGAGTTCTTGTGTTATTACATGTGATGTGTTCGTAAAATGTTAATATGTACGGACATACTATGATAATGGCATGAAATAGCAATAGTAAAGTTAATCTATTTAATTGATTCTATTGACTTTACAAAATTGCAAAAATTATAAATCTTTCAATTAATATGTGATATAAGCATAAAGAAATTCACTAACCTACAGTTTTATTACTATTAAATGGATGGGACTTGGATACCTTGGTGAGAAGGATTGGATGGTTTACTGTAAGATGAATATTACATGAACAATTCATAACATACATGCGATCATTTGACGAACTAATTATTATGTATGCATTTTGAAAATCTCAAACGACTGAAAATATCATTAGCAAATCTGTAAAAACAGAATTAAATTGTAACTAAGTGTTTCCCCAAATAAAATAATTATAAATTTGTTAAATAAGAGATTCTTCTAGATTCATTATGCAAATTGTCTTTTCAAAATAACTAATTGTACTTAATTGCGTTTGCATTTTGGAAGTGAGGAGATAAACGTTTTATAAACATATCAACGTTACATATATTTCAACATCAGAATATTTTTTTATATATAAATATAGGAAAGAAATCGATGTATATTGGAAGAAGTTTCTATTTCCGGTAAAGAAAAATTATCCAGAAAATAATTTTATTCAAATATTTTTTTATGCGTATATCGGGACAGCATATTAGAGAAAAGCAAAAATTTACTAAAAAGCAAAAGCGAATATCTAGTAAGAGCTTTCTAGCGATGAAAATACTATTTATAGCAATTAGGACGATTTATATGGAATATTATATGCAAAAACCTGTATAAAATTGTAATTAATACTATTACAACAATATAGTTGTATAAATGTATGTAAGTAAAAACTTTATGTACATTTGTGAGAAACTATCGTGGCGAGATATAATAACAACACTGGTTTGACAAGAAAAAACACCAAACAAGACAAATCATTTTCTGTAGATTTTTGGACGCTGAATATCAAACTGTTTTCTAAATTGCTCCATTATGTTATAATTTTGAGAAATTGCAGTTAAAATAGTTGTTAGAAGGAACTATTTTTACATATTTTGACACATTGTAGCTACGACATGTGATATGTTGAAGAAATTTGATTGCAATCAAAATTAAATATGTTGTTACAATTTTCAATCCTCAATAGGAATTTTTAACCGGTGATTAAAATGATATGATTAATATGATACTCATTAAACGTAGGATCTATTATGGAAAAGCTGCAAGTCACTGATAATTTTCTAAATAATTTTCAACTATGTTCATTTAAGAAAATCCTATTTTTTGGGCGAAAAAAATTGATTTTTTGGGGAATTTTTTTTTATCAAAGTATAAAGTCAATACATTTGAATTTTGGAACATTGTTTTACTATATTTAAATGTAATTTCAGTTTTTTTTTATTAAATTTGAGCCAATATTACACCTGTTATCTCTCCTCAAACATGGTGCCGTGCGAAGTATCTCCGTCACTGGTGTGCAAGATATCTTCCGTCCCGGTCATTTGAAATATAAAAATCTGATAGCGTTTAATTTTATATACATATAGTTATCGTTGGATGAACAGGCAAAAAAAATTGATAATTAAGAAAATAGCGGCTTGTAAACAAAATCATTGATTTTGCTCTAAAAATTGGCTAAATTTTTTGTAATAAAAATTAAAATATATGACGTATTGTTTTTCTTTTTCATCGAACAATAAAGGGACATTTCTTCAACATGCAATTCAAAGCGGAAGATGATCGGTCTATTAGTTTCGTAGATATCGTGCACCAGTCGCGAAAAAGCTGTTTCGAGAAAAACGCGTTTGAAGTTTCAGTGCGCTAAACTATATACCTGCGCGCCATTAACAATGCTAATGCTGGAGGTACATACTATAACTTTCAAGCCTAATAATTCGAAAAGTACTTAATGAAAAAATATTTTGTTATAATGCTTATAATATTTTGAAGAGCTCTTGAGATAAGCTACAAGAATATACAACGAAAAATGGGGGTTTCCATTTTTAAAAATCTATATGACCTTGACCAGACCTTGGTGACGTCATCCAAGGTCAAACTGATAAGATCAGTAAATAGATCTTCTTAAATCTTACAACTTTTGTCTGAAACATTTCTTTCTAAAATGATTAGTTTCCGAAATATTGAGGGGTCTCGACAACGTTTAAATTTTCGAACAACCTGTATATAACTATCAAGACATATAGCGTGTCTCCAGATATATGGACATATTTCATATATAGTTCTGTATAATTACGTATAATTATTTGTATATAATTATATATGAAACATTTTTTATCAGACAGCCAATCTCCGCAACTCTGCGTCACGCATGCATAAAAAATCTTTGACGGGCAACGGCGCGCTTCCTCTCTTGCCTCTCCAAAGCGCTGCCGGCAGCCAATACTTGATAAACTGGGCCTGGCTATACCCATGGTGAAAGGGATAACATGGTGTATGCAGTTTGCAAGCATCTCTCTCTAAATCTCCGATCTCTCTGTCTATGAATGTCTATGAATGTCGATAAGAGACTAAGGCTGCTAACTGTGAAACGCTAAATATGGAACGATATTCATAGTCCATTTTTATTTTAAAACTGTCTTAAATAATGTCTTAAGATGCTAATACAGTCCTCGGATTGACTTATGACATCTTAAAATTGTACTTAAGACAGTCTTAAATGCAAGAATCGACTATGAATACCGGCCTGTTTCGCATCTTGAAATTGGTACTGAATCTTTCTTCTTGTTTAACACACTTTATATGTTTCTCTTTCGATAGGAAGAGAAACATAAAATGTGTTCTTTTTCTCCTCAAATCGAATATGCTTTTTTTTTGCAGCAATAATTTAACATGCCGCTGGATAATTTATCGGATTAAGATTTAAGCAGAAACTGTTTTCGTCATGCCCTGTGATTTCCGACGACCTATTATATAATAGATTTGTAAAAGGGCAATTGTTGCCATTAGATAAATTGCTCATAACTGTCAGTGGTAATAAAAATCGGTAATCCAATAAACAAAATCAAGTGTTGTTTTATACAATACTGTAAACAACTTAAGGAAAGTAGTTTCAAGAGAATTGATGCAGGCAACTTGTAATCCGGATATTTAGTAAATCAATAACCTAATTCATAGCTTTTCCGCAACATATATAGGTCCCATATTTTATAAATATTTTATTATTCATAGCAGACATTAAAAAATCCTTTTGAGGACTAAAAGTTCTAATAACATATTTAATTTTGATTGCAATAAAACTTTTCCAACACGCTAGATATCATAGTTATAATATAACAAAATATGCGAAAATAGCTTTTTTTGCAACTTCAATTTCTTAAAATTGTGCGATAGAACAATTTGGAAAACGGATTCAATTTCAGCATCCAAAAAACTATTAAAAAATAACTAGTTTTGTTCCGGTATTCGGGAAAGTAATTTTTTGTCAAACAGTATAGCGCTACAGTCAAGCAATACTAACAGCTTATGGTGTAATATTAAAAGTAAATTATATAAGTCTAAAACTATATATCGTGTTTCAACGCGTTATAAATAATTTATATTATGTTAAATTAAAAACTTATTACTTATATTAATCCGCAAAATCAAATTAACATAATAAAATAATGCAAAGTTCTAATCTCTCTCTCTCTCTCTCTCTCTCTCTCTCTCTCTCTCTCTCTCTCTCTCTCTCTCTCTCTCTTTCACTCTCCTTTTCTCTTCCTAATATTTAGGCGATTAATTATTTCCTATTAAATTATTAATATCGTGTATTTAAAAAAAATCTTTAAAAATAATGTCTTAGTAACTTCATCATTAGAATTTTCATACAATAGAGAACAAGAACACAATAGTATTGGTACGACTCTCACAAAGATCGTAATAATTAACGATGGTAAAATGTGCGCGTGCTTGTGTATGTATGTATATGGCATATGTGATGAATGTAGCTTGTGTAATTAAGAATTAAATGTAAGCAGTGTAAAAGACGATTTATTGTGGAGATACAGACCATCCTCACCTGGTAAACTTCCCTTGGCGCGGACCCCCCCACGAGCGGCCAGCCGCTGGACCCCACGGGCCCCTGAAGCTGCGGGGTTGCGTCCCCCCCTGACTGGCCCACGGGCTTGCGGGCCACCGATTCGGCCACGTGGCACTACTCCACGGCCACGACCAGCCTACCCAAATAACAGACCCAAATTGTTACCCCATAATTGTACAATAATTTGCATTATATTTACATTTCATTTAACTTTCTTTTCTTTTTCTTAATATTTTTATGTGTCTCTTCTGCTTTATATCTAATTTAGTTATGTACAGTATATCACGCAGTAGACCCTTAAAAATATAGTAGTAATAGTAATAAAATACATTAGAATTAGTATATATATCGCTGAATGATCAAGAGTTTTTCCAGTGTATATATGTGCATTTTATTCGTAATGCTCATATTTCTACGGAGCGTAGACGTACATACAAGGCTTTTATATATACGTATACATCCATGATGATATAGCATGAAAAGAGGCGAATAAATAACAGAGAGAAGGGAAACAAGAAAGTTATGGAGAAAGGAGAGACAATGACAGAATGACAAAGAAGGAAAAAAAAAGAAAAATGAGAACGTGGCAGAAGTAAATCACCTATAACCAAATATTTTTACTAACCACGTTTTTACATACAGCAGTAGGAGTTAGCAGAGTTATCCAATGTAGTAAAGCGAAAAGCGAACTGATTGGTTGGCGTAGGAACTTTTAAGCGACACAAGCTATTGCACTGGCAGCTAAAACAAAATTCAACCAAAAGGCGTATTATATAAATAAGCGGCGCAGCATTGTTAAGCGTTAAAACAAATGTGATTTAAGCGTAAGCTATGGTTTTATATACATGGATATAAGGACGGTGGGAGGCTAAAGCGAGAACTGCAAAACATGTTCACTGGTGCTATATACGGGGGACGAATCCTCTATTCCGTCATCTATCTCCGTGGTCTTTATCATACCTACGCATAATTCAGTGTACAAGTAATAAAATATTATTAATAAAGTATTATTAATCGTCACGTGACACATATACGATAAATCATTTGTAAATAGATTACTGATTTGAAAAGTTTGAATACGTTTATCATTCCTTAGTTCCAATACTGCTGTTTATAATTTGCGACGAACTTTTCCTCCTGCTTAATAAAAATAAAATTGGCATATTGAATTGATTTATTTTTTTGAAAATCAAAGCGATGTATGTATATGTTACGTAGTCACATATATCGGATATACAGAGTTACAATAACCATATCACTTCTCGTGAAAAAATTTGAAGAAATATTTGTGAATATGTGAAGAAACTACAGTCAACAACTATATATGCGCTATATAGTTTGAGTGTCTGGTAATAACATCTTGCAGACAGTAGAGTAGGTTAAATCAAATAGAAAAATCTTGTATTATTTTGCAAGTTTGATTTACAGTAATTCATTTTTTAATAATTATTACAAGTAGGTAGAGGGTTTTTTTTATCCAATTTAACCCACTTTACTCTGTCCACAAGAGGTAATACAATTATTACAGACATTCTGTATGTAGTGCATACATAGCTTGATTGGTTGTTTCTTCAAAAGTACAGAATATATTATAAATCATAATAAGAATACGAGAATTAATCTAAATTTTTTTCTGGAAGAAACTCAATTTAAGAATCCGATGCAATACAACGTTATCATTTACACAAATGTAGTTACGTTTAATAGTACAGAATTAATACAGAAAAAAATTCAATCTCAAATCACAAAAAAATAAACTCCATTTTATTCTATATCCTTATCTGTATTTGTAATTTAAATTAACTTTTTTTTATTTCAAAGAAATTTATAAAATAAATATTTGTATCTTTTTTCTTTAAATAAGAGATTCGATAATTCTACTTAAAGCGAAGATGTCTACAATGATAATCTGATGGTAAAAATTTGTGAAAGAAAAAATTAAAATTGAAGTGTAAAAGAAACATGATACGTGAATATTGAATTGTGCGGATGCAGCAAAACGAAAATAATGAATTGTAATTTATAGGTACCGAAAAATTGGAACAGACTAAAACACTTCCTCAGGAAGAATTATCTAGGAATATAATCGAGGAATATAATCGAGATAACATCCAAAATAAATAATAAAGCAAAATTAATGTTAGAAAAAGGTTCAAGATAATGCAAAAACAATTCGAAAAAGATTCTTGTTTGTCTATTTCTCCTCGAAAGCAACGGGGCTAACTACATCGTACTATATGACGTATACATCATACAGCACGGGGAATATAGTAACATCAAATAATACATATAAGAAACCTAAGTGCGCATGTCATGTGTTATCGCAATAGCAAGGCACTGCCAAGAGAAAAAGTTGATCGCAATATAAAAATATAATAAAAATAAAACGATAAAGTAAATTTTTTTCGCGCAGGGTGCCCATACGCTCCCTTTTGTCATGTTTGGATAACCCTGTAACTTGACATAGAAAAAGTGTAACATCATATCCGAGCCACGAGACGCAACGTCGCTCTAAGAAAAAAAAAAAACAAATTACTTGTACATGGAGACTGTAATATATAAAGAACGACGATAAGATATATAAAAAGTCCTGTACACTGCTTTCTGCCTACATCTGGAATTCTCTTGAAGCTGCGCTAGAATAATAATGAAGGTGGAATAGTGTTAAGGGATCCTGCAACACTGTAAAATGTGCGATCTTCTTCCTTAAGAGGATTTATATAAATATAGATATTTATCTTCAAATTTCTGTTTTTTAATCCGCATGTTTTTCCCTTTTCTCTTTATTCTCTTTATGTTTTTTTAATTTGAATTGCTTTTCCCGGCTATATCTTGGTTGAAAATTTAGAATGGGTCTACCATGGCTCAGATATGATTTGCAAGCAATTTGAAAGTGGCAATGTGTTCGGATTACAAGGTCTAATCTTAGTAGTATCGAAGCTTTGATGTTAGTACAGTATAGATTCATGTAGGATCTATATAAATGTAACATTCATAGTACGCTCTTAACAGCAATCTTTCCTGCGCTCTTTCCCCCCCCCCTCTCTCTCTCTCACACCACACACACGCACGCACGCACGCACGCGCGCACGCACACACACACACACACATACACACCTTGGATTCATTAGAAATTTTATAGCTCAGATAAATAATGTACTGTGGATGTGCATTTAACATTATAAAATCAGGATTATATTAAGATGTCTTCCTGCGAGTTAATAATGATTATAGTAAAAAATAGCGCATACCTAATTAGCCAGCGTTAATTTACACGCTCAAATAGAGAAAATATATGACAGATGTTGATCTGGATGAAAAAGTTGGAGAGAAATACGAAATATATTAGGAGAATCCGTGAACACTGTGCCACAGTCAAACTACTGCTAGTATAAAAAAAAGTAATAATGATTTCAGGAACGAAAACGACTTTTTAGAACCATTAAAAAGGCGACCCACCGGTTGAGGCTGCCTGCCTCTCCCTCTGGCAGGCGGCGGAGGCGGCGCATAATCGAAATAGTAATCTTCATATCGATAATAGTCATCGTAATAGGGATCACTGTAGCCACCTCGATAATCCCCATAACCGTAATAGTCGTAATCATAATCTATAAAAACACACATTACAAATAGACCCAAATTTAGCCACGATATCCAATTGACAACTTACTGAGATATAATATAATACTATTTCAATATTATAAGAAAGGCATGCCGGGAAAAGATAATTTGGAAAATGCTAATATACAATAGAAATAAAAGAGAAAGAAAAACAAAAATAAATTTAATCGTATATCGAGAATAAAATATTTGTGTGGAAAATATGATTTCGATAAAAAAAAGAAAATTGTAAAAATACTCAGTATATACAAATATCATACAAAACTATGTAATGATTACCCTACCACCATCACATTTCCTGAGATAGAAAATTGTAAGGCCATTCAAAAATTTCACATTTATCCCAGATAAAAAGTTACTGAAAAATAATTCTACAAAAAAAAAAATAAATACAAAATATTTGAAATATTAATTAACAAATATAAAAAATGACTTAATCCTCTCAGCAATAAAATGTAATTTATATGCGCATAATCTTATCATTTCTAATCTTTTAAATTCTATGAAGGCATTTAGAGTAGACGTTTTTAAAAACGAAAGAAAAATATGAATATCTTCTACAATTTAGAAAATATTTGAAACACAGTACATTGTAAAGAAAAAATGTCTATAAATTTTATTAGAAAAAAATCATTTTCGATGACCTCACAATATGTACTTAAATTGGGCATTAACATAAAAAGGAAGAAAATACACAGGACTACGTATGATACTTTACAACTGTTGCATTCATCATTCATCACGGCTTACCTATTTCCTGGAGAGCTGTAAACAGATTTTGAACTGATGATGCATTGTACTAGGTACACGAGGTTCACATACGCTCACGTATATATAAATGAATGAAAAAAAAAATTATATAAAAATTATCCTTGGCGATGCATATGATATTCTATGTACTACCAGAAAATAATTCTCAGTGAGGCACCAAACAAAAGTACAAAACAAATGAGAAAATATACATGCAATTATTTTTTTGTTAAAAAAAAAACAGATATCACAGGAAGTGGCAGTGGTAAGGCAACAAGGTGTTCATATTACACAAAATGCTAAGCACACATCTAACATACATATATGTATTCATATACATATGTGTGTGCGTGTGTAACAATATAGTACAGATTAACAATATATATTCGTGATAAACATAACCATTATTTTTACGTAATTGAATTGTTCAAAAAAACTAAAAAATGTCTTCAGTTTTATCTCAAAACTAGATACAAATTAGACATAATAAATAAATTACAAGTAAATAAATTTATATTTTTAGATCATTTTACGATCATTTAATGATGTATCTGAATATAAAGTCTCTAATTATAATCTAATTAAACAATTTGCATTTAAGTATTCTTAAAAAGCAAAAACAATTTATAATATATCGTAATATAACACGTTTCACATGAATTATATAAAAATAATTTATCAATATATATATATATATATATATATGTGTGTATATATATATATAATACTTATACACACATATGAAAAGATTAGTATTTTCAAAAAATATATAAAAAGTATCAAATAATATATAATTATTCCTAGATTTTTTACGTTAGTTTATCAGTCTTATATACTTATAGCAATAAATAATATAAACTGTAATAAAAGAATAAAAAATTATTTTGGTCAAGAAAAGATTCCGATCGAAAAACTATAATGTAATATGGTAATTAGAAAGTATTTTTTATTCACACGTTCAAAATAACTTATCATGCGCGTAAGCCAAGGTATATGTAATGAGATAGTAAAAAATTCCCAAAAGCATGCAGATGTTTGTTATGTAATTATTTCGAAAAAAAAAAAATATATATATATTTTTAGTGTCCATAAAAAATCTCGGGATATCTAAATAATTTTTGAATAGTTCAAGAGATATAAGATCGAAATTTATAGAGATACAATGGGATCATAAAGGCTGCGGTCCACTTGCTTCTTCCAAATGCTCTGAACGTTACGCTTCAAACGATAAGGCTTCGCGTAGACACGCGTTCCTGAGTGGATGGAAGTGCATGCCGGAGAGTGTGCACGCGCGTGTGTGCGTGCGCGCGTGCAAGCACAGGCAAAGGTCAGGACCTCACGGTTCGACACTTCTGCGATATTTAACAACCAAGTGAGTCGAATGATCGTAACTATGTGCAAAAAATCATAAAGATCTCAATCGATCCGCGTGGTTTTTTTCTCGAAAACCCTTTCAAACGAGCCCTCACTCGACATATGTCATTTAAGATTTTCCGAGCCCTTCTTCCGGGCTCCATCTCCCGGTGTTTTCAAAGTTAAATAATGGATTTTATGATCGTATTATATCCCTATAAATTTCAATCTTATATAATTGAACCATTCAGAAGTTACTTGAGTATCCTGGAACTTTTGGCAAACACTATACATATACAGAGTATCAAAAAAGTCAGACCATTGGATTATTTCGAAAACATGACGTTTTTGAAAAAATTTTCATGCAAAAGTAGGATATCAAATTACCCATCATGTGGTGATATTACAAATCCGACTATGCGACCTCTGTGTGATGGTAGCAGTGAATATCTCGAATAGTTTTTAGCTAAATAAAACTTAATTATACTGTTTTGAAAAAATTGATGTTGGGGCTACAAGGATTTACAATAAAAATTAGGGATGTTCACTTACAAAATTTGAAGTGATCTTAATATGACATTCTCAAGCTAATATTGGTCACATTAATATTATTATATGATGGGTAATTTGGTCCTACAACTTTTGTATGAACAAATTTTTTTGAAAACATCTTTCCGAGATAATCTAGTGTTCCGACCTTTTTGCGATATCTCGTATATATTCATATATATACACACACACACACACACATATATGTGTATATGTATATACACAATATATAACTATTTAATATACTAAATATTTTGAATCTGAAATAAATTAAACAAAAAGTTATAAAAATAAAAAAAGAAAAATTATGTATAACATAAAAATTATATGTATATATAAATATATCTTTTCATAAATTTATGTACACTTAGCAAATAAATTATGAACATACGTATTAATTCATATGTAATATTTTACAATTTTTAACAGCATTATAACTTCTATAGTCTCAATAAAATTATAATTATTAATTTGTTAATTCTTTCTTCATATATAAAATATTAATTACAATCTTGATATATTACATAGCTTTAATAATTATAATTTTAGTACATGATATGCTAAATATCATGCGGTATCATACCAGCATAATAATTCAATAGTGATACCAAGAGAAATAGTTAACATTTAAATGAAAATTATTACCTGAGAACAATAAAATTATAAGCGTATATATCAATATATATCAATGTGATATAAAGAATTATTGAAATTTTTATTAGTACAAAAATCGAAGTTGCTGTTCTGTTAGGGCATTGTCGAAAAATACATGAACCAATACAACAAAAAAGTAAAAAAAAAAAATAAGAACTCAAATTGGTACTAACCATAATCGCCTCGTCCCATCTGTCCACGCATACCTGCACCAGTACCCCGAGGTCCCTGTGTGGGCCCACGAACTGGCATTGGACCTCCCATCATGCTCGGATGAGAAGGAGATCCACTGTAAAAAGGAAAACTATATAATGCCTTTAATTTATGAATAAATAAAATAAAGTAATTTAAAGTGAAATATGACACACAAATAATACGGATTAATTAAAAATAAAATAGCAATATAACTCTCTCTCTCTCTCTTTCTCTTACCCGCCTCTGCCCTGTAACATTTGCATCATTCGTCTTTCCCTGGCGCGCAACATCTCTTCCTTCTTCTTTTTATCGGATGGTGGTTTTGCCAATGAAACTTCTATGTGGGATCCACCCATTTCCTTACCATTTAATTCATTCATTGCCTTAAGAAAATACATATATACATATATTTAAAATAAATTTTTATTAGAGATTATTAAACGGAATATAACTTGATACATTTTTTACCTTAACAGCATTATCTCTATCTTCAAAGTGTATAAATGCATAATCCTTGATTTTTTTCACTCGCTCAATTTTGCCATATTGTTCAAAGCTTTCCTTCAGTTTTTCTTCAGAACAATCTTGCGTCAAATTTCGTACGTAAAGCACACGTACCTAAAACAAAAGAGTTTTATCATTTTTTTAACACACAAGAAACGAAGACTAGTACAATGATAAAAATAATTATATTTGATTGTATTATGAGTCATTTACTTTGGACATGGTTTGTTCGTCTGGCTCCTCTTGAGGGTCGGCCCAATCAACAATAATATCACATCCCCAAACTTTAATACGTCCAGTACTTAACCTTCGCTTGGCTAAGGAAGCTGCTTTGTGAGATTCGTATTCCAAAAAGCAAAAACCTCTATTCTTCTTTTTGTCATCTGGTGAACTGTAGATAATCACCTCTGTCAGGCCAGCTATATGTCAAAAAAAAATCATACAAAAAGCAGATAAGATTTATTCGAACTTTATACGATACTCGTAAAATGTTCGGAATTGTTATATATAATAAAAAATAGAAATAATATTCCAAATAAAATATAAATTCAAGCAGCTATTATAACTTTATATGCGATATTTGCCGTGAGCGAGAGATTTACACTATGTTTCAAGTAATTATAATAATTATACTGCCTATCTTGAATATTTTTAAATTTACAATATTTATGTTAAATTATACATAATAATAATAATTTTATCATACAAAAAATAATTATCATAGATCATTTTACATCAATATTATTAACAACATTATCTACATATTCGTAAAAACATCGTAAAAATTCGTTATCGTATGTAACTTTTGATTTTTTTCACATATGTTATAATTCCATATCTATATATGCAGCATAAGAATACTATTTAAGAGTACAAAAATTAAATAAAGATAAAATTAAAAAGAAAAAAATATAATAATTACATTAATGTATCTGACTACATTAATTAATCTGTATGATTCCTAAAATATTTATACGTATATTCATATAACAAAAAGTTACATTATATTGTTTATTAAATCTTTTCTAGACATTGTTAATGTTCCTATTTCATAAATTATAAATTTCATTTATTTATATTTGCACGTTTGAGAACAAACACACGTAACATTCAATAAAAGAAGAAAAACAAGCTTCAAAAATGAATTTATCAAGTAAAATTTCTTTGACAAAAAACTATTCAAGGATAAAAAGAAATAAAAGAAACATTACTTCACCAAAATGCTCACAATCTATGTCGTAATACAATTTCAAATAAAAAACTACAGAAAATCAGGATTAAAAGAACAGAAAAAATAGACACTATTAATAGCTACAAAGAGAGAGACTGCAAGCTCCAAATTCTGTAAAACACTCTTTATCAGAATAGTTATATGTATAATACATATACATATGTTCTTTAGCATTTCTTTACTAGATCTGTATATTTTTGAAGAATTTGAGAGGATTATTTAATTCAAAAGCATATAAATATTAAGAAGAATATTTTTCATGCTATTAGAATTCCCATGCATTATAATTATTCAATTACATGTACATAAAGAAATCGACATTTTAATATTATATGTATATAATTATTATATCCTTCCTCTCTCAGTGTCTTCTAATCTTAAGATGTAAGAATATCATTCGTATTTCCCAATTTGATTTCACTCCGATCTAACTTGACAGAGCTTTTCTGGAAATAGTAGTAAAAATACTGAAAGATTGCCAAACAAGAAGCAATTTAGTAATTATCACTAGGCAACTTAATTAATCTGACATCATTCCTCTGAACTTTTATTTTTCAGAGATAGTCTTTCTCTCCTTCCTCTCAGTTTAGAAGTTATACTACCTCTGGATAACAAGGCATTTTGTACATATTTTTAAAATAATAAATCTTAATTTTAAATAATAAAGCAGCAAATCATCGATTTTGTACTAAATCCATAAAATTTCATTATAATAAAGTAATTTTTATAATTACTCACTAATTTTATTGACTAATATGCATAAAATATAATTTACTTATACTAATTTATTCATTATTCATAGTAAATACATCAATTCTCTTAGTTTCTTGTCTGTCAGTTGCATTATATAAGACATGCGGAAATCGAATGCTCATTATTGTTAGATGCCTTGTATCATTATATCGATCGTCGTATTGACTGCTCTCCTAAAATTAATTTTTCGATCATTTCTATGTAAATTTAATTATTCAAGGCGTTTGCCTTTATCATCACTTTTTTTACATTAATCTCCTCTCTGTGTCCATATATTAATGTTACATGCAAGAATCTTATGCACATACATACGAAATATAGTGATGATCACAAACACATTCATTCGATCACACTGATCATTCCCTTTTGCCATATTTACATTTATACTATACAAAAATAATATACCTTTCATATTAAATATTAACGTCTGAAATTAAAGATATCACAATAAACACACAATTATTCATTCGTGAAATACGATTGTGTCTCTATTTTATGAATATATTTAATTTTGTGTACAAAAGAAAAATATATTTTCCATTTCAAAACATAAATAAAGAAAATAAAGCTGTATCATTTCTTAATTATATATAAATAAAAATATCAATAAACGATACTAGCTGTAAAATTTGCATTCCAACTTTGAATTTTGTGTCCCAAAACCAAATACTCGTAATAATTTCTCAAAATTGTATAAAATATAAAAACTCATATACTTTTTCTGTCTTTCCCTCTTCTTTCCTTCCATCTTTTCTTCCTTCCCCCTCCCTCCCTTCCCCTCTTTCATTCTGTTCTTCTCTCTTTCTTGTCTGCTTGCGCACGCGCGCGTTTCTATGATATTGTGTGTGTGTGTGTGTGTGTGTGTGTGTGGCGCGCGTGCGCGCGCGCGCCTGTGTGTAGGAAAAAAAATTAAATGAGCATATAATGTATGTGGATGGATGGATGGATGGATGGATGGATGGACGAATGGATGGATGGATGTATGGTGGATGGATGGATGGATGGATGGATGAATGAATGAATGAATGAATGGATGGATGGATGAATGGATGGACGGATGGATGGATGGATGGATGGATAAAATGGACAGTCGTGCACGCGCGTATATGTGTGTATGTATGTTTCAAATAAAATAAACTCAGTTGGTTGTAGGACACAATTACGAATGTCTACTCATTGCAACTATGCACGTTTTGCAAACGAAAAGTTATTAGAAATGAAAGGAATTATATGATAAGAAGAGTTCACATTTGGCTTATAAATAAATTGGTCAGCGTTACCAAACATCAATAATATTTTCGAAAAATGAATAATGAAAATTTCGTTTCTCCGAGTACCAATTCACAACAAAATTTTTGTTTCACATTTATGCAAGAGGGCTGGATTTAACCCACCTGGCACCTCTGCTACTGACTAGAGAAAAACACCTGATTTGTTATAAGATGATAAATTTTTTGTCCCATTATATCTCCCAGAGAACTTCCATTTGGTTACTGCTTGCTGATTTAAGGACAATTGTCAACTTACGTGCGTGCTTTGTAAACTCTTCGAACAAGTCATCTCGGTCTCGATTCTTTGGAATATTTCCCACAAACAAGCGGTGATTGTTATAAGATACGGTAACACCAATCTTTTTCCCTTTCCGAATCTCATAATCATTCAGCTGTAAGAATAATGTGGAAGGAGAGTGCCAATTAAGCTTGCCATTTATGATTTCACCTGCTTATTGGCTGTCTGAACGTAGGATTTCATGAAATGTCCTTGAGGAAAGAGGGTTGGTTGTGGGGGGATGGATTTCATTTATATAAACATAGGACCATTATTCAAAGGATCATGGACATTTTGATAGTTTGAGAGGATCAATATCATACAGGGTAGGTGGGAGTGCCTGTCCGTTTGTTAGCGAGCCAAACGCCCCAGCGGTCCACGCAAATCTCCCATACCCCCAAAGCTTAAGACTTAGTGATGAATTACATTTGCATATTGCAAAATTGCAATGGTGCAAGACAGCGTATATTTTTGTCACAGTACGTAAAATAATTCTTAATCTAAAAGTATCATACGGCTTCCACATTTTCTCTTTCCATTATCTCGCTTCTTTTTTACCGTTCCAAAAAAAGAAGACGAAGAAGATATCAGTAATAAAGATTGATGAATTGATCAGTTGCATAAATTCGAGGACAGGGAATTCAAGAGGATAATAAGGTATTCGCATGTATAGAATAGGAAGCAGATAAACTCATAAGTCAACCTAAATATGCGAGGAAAAGAAGACTTGGACCAGAGAGGTGTTACTGTTCACTAATAAACCGAGAGGCAAGGAGACTGACCAGAACTAAAGGTGCCATAAGGTATATTCGTAGATCATAAAATCAATGTGATCCTTGGATGCTCCATAGTTCCATACCATCTACAACCACTACTTAAAAGCTAGCACTCTTAAATTATACAATACAGGTAGACAGGTAGGTAATAGGTAGGTAGGTAGGTACACACGCCTCGAATTCACTTTACCTGTTAATTTACCAAATTCCTCCAAGATCTCCTCTTTGCCTTTTGACTTTGGTATGTTCCCCACGAAAAGACGTAGATTAGGAACGCTAATGTTTACTTTCAGACTCTTGCCGGGTTTTATTTCGTGATTATCGAGCTGTGGGATGCAGAAAACAGACACATGCCTAATTTTGTTCCAATGAGGCGGTTTCATGGTTTTTAAGTTAAGATAATTACGGCAGATATGACGGAATTTGGGAAAAAATTTTCTAAATATGCAATTTAATACGAATATTAATTATTGACAATGGTGTAGGTTCACGAAAGCGAGAAAGTGGCATGCGCTTTGTCGCTCGAGTCTTCACAATATAGCAAACCGGCCTTTCATGTACTCCTGTAAACAAATTTTAAGCCTACCAATTTTCAGAATTTTGTTACAAAAATTGTCACTGTCCAATGAGAATCAACCAATTAGATAAATATACCCCTAACCAATTAGACCATACAATCATCATGATTTTCAGAAAGGTTCTCCACTCCCAATTTTGCCCTCTGAGCAAAGAGGAGAGCTGGAAAAGAAACTCATCCATAGGACATCATTAATATATATTTTTCAGTGTTATTAAATAGGATCAGTGGATGTAATTGCGTATTTAAACACGAATAAATGGTCAGGGACATATACATATAAAACATATAATATGTGGATTGTTCCTACGTGTGTGTGTATGTGTATAATAAAATTACGTATATATGTGTTTTCATTTATTTTAAAATATCTCACCTAACTCTCGAGCACTTTAAATATCTTTGCTATTCTAAGTAATAGAAAAAATTAAAAAAAAATTCACACACAAGTTACAAGATTTAATAAATTCAAAAACACATAATGTAGTAGCAATGCTTTCGTTATGCAGAAACATGAAATATTTTGAGAACATTTCTTTAAAAAAAAAAACTGAAATACGATTTTTCTTCCACAAATCTTCTAATTATTTCTCACATAAAAGTAAAGTCTGCGGTACACGATATACGTTTTCCTGCTATAGATTGCTTATGTTTTAGTAAATTATTAGAATTGCACCACACAGAATGCAGAATTTCTACTAATTTATCAAAACGCAAGCAATCCAATAGGAAAAAATTGTATGCCGTAGGCTTAATATAAAAATATAGAGGTTAGATTATTTAAAAAAATTAATTTTTTCCGAGATATATTTTATGCCAAATTATGCCACATTAAAACATTAGATATTTTATAAGTTATTGATTTTTTAATTTTATGTTAACAGTTTTAGACAAGATAATCAGAAAAATCATCTTGAGAAGATGTCCTATTTTATTAAACTTATTGCTTTTTCTGAAGAAGGCTCGAACAAGTAGCCGAAACATGTCAAGAGTCGAATTTATAAAATTAGATTTGAATAATAACTCAATGTAATTATCAATTGAATATATATAAATTGTTGTACACAACAAGTTCTACGATTGGCTCTTCGATACTCTATTATTTTATATATTTTTAATTTATATTATTTAGAGACCTTTTTATTATTATTATTATTTTACTTTTATTTTAGAAAAATCATGTTTGATTTACACAAAAATCAAATTGCCTCTAAAATCTCCTTCACATCTCCACATATAACGAAATATTGTGCCACTATACAGGATGACAAAAAATTCCTTTAAGATATTTTACCGGTTTCGGATTTTTTTGTCACTCTGTATGATGTGTCATTCACAAAACTGTAGAACCACGTAATTTAAACAACTTTTTCTTATTATTTAGAATAGCAAAGATATTTCAAATTCTCGATATCAATGAGAAAACTTATACAGATATGAATCACATACTCATGTACATATGCCCCCCTCTTTCTCTCTTCTTTCCTTTTACTCTTTACTTTCTGTTTTCCTTTTTACTTTACTCTCTCATTCTTTTCTCTCTCTCTCTCTCTCTCACTCACTTTCTTTGTCTTGCTTTTTCATTCGTTCCCCTTCTTTCTTTCTTGTTCATTCTTTCTTTCACACAACGCATATGTACATATGTATGCAAAATTTCTATTTTTTCTAAATTGTGTATATATTTTTTTTAAATGTGTAAATTCAAAAAATTATAAAAATACATGAACTTAATAAATTAATATATCTGCGTTAAATCTACTGGGAAACAACGAAATATAAAAAAGATAATATAGAACAAGCCACATAGGAATATAGTAACACTCATTCGAAATGTTCAACAGAACACAAACGTGTATGTGTGTGTATATATATGTGTATATATATGGGTAATTCAGCCGCAGCTCATATTAAAATATTATTTAAAACAAAAACTAAAATATATCAGTATTTTAAATTTAATATATAACTAAATGTGAAACATTGTGTGACGAAGTCAAACTTCTCTATTTAATTAATAAACATTTCGAAAAAGCACTATTATGTTGGTAGCAATAACAATTTTGTAACATTTCTAAAAATTTTGAAAATAAAAAGATAAAAGGATCCTAATCTATGTGTGTGTATGACAATACGTTAATAACTAAGAAAAAAAAACTTTATATATTGTACGAAAATATACACAATAATATTACGAAAAGATCTAAGGAAAAATATTAACATACCTCTCGAACAGCCTGCTGCGCAGCTTCCCTATTAGTGAATGTGATAAATGCATATCCTCTGTTGGAACCTGACATGGGATCCATCATCAGTCTCAAGTCCCAAATTTTTCCGCATTTCTCAAATAATGGAATTAATTCGTCTTCATACATGTCTTTTGGGATTTTGCCACAAAATACCTTTTTATAAAAATATTTAACATAAGTTTAAAAATAAACAACTTATATACCAAAATATTTCATATATTCCCTTTAATAACTGCCCTACATACACATTACGTTTCTTGTTAATGCAAATCATGATTGCTAGAAATTTTGGGGAAATTTTTAATGTCAAAAAAAATAATTTAAAAATATTAGTAAAATATATTACACATTGCATTTGTAATACCTAAAGCTAAATATATACATATATAATAGCATTGTGTATGCATGCGCGCATGTGTGTGTGTGTGTGTGTTGCAAGGGGAGGGGGCAAGAGGCGTGCGCGCGTATAATTTATATAGAGATAAATTTACCTCACAACCAGTGCCAGGAGTTGGACCCTCCCAATTTGGTGGAGGACCACCATATTTTCTTTGTCCAGTAGTTACATCCAAAGGATATCCCGTTCTTTCCAGAATTAACTAAAATATAATTATTTAAATATACAATAATTATAAAATAGAATATTTTGGTATCTAAGTAAATTAAAATAACTTTATGTCCGTGTCACATTACACATTGGAGATTGAGGATTACAAATTAAAGATTTGAATTCGACCAATCAGATAATTTTAATTTTAATCCGTTTCGTTCTAACTGACTGAATTCTAATCCTCTATTCGTAATCCTCACTCTCCAATGCAGTGTGTCATAGGCATTAGAGAAATTTACATATACAAAGATATGAATATAATATATGAATGATATATATATAAAAGCATATCTTCAAATTACTTTGATTTTGTCTTCATCTGGGGCCTTAGGTGTCGTGCTGGTGCCTGTACCTTGACCAGCACGACTCTTTTGTCTGTACGTCTTCATTACTCCACAAAGGTATGCCGATTTATTGGATACATGTTCCAGATTAGATTCCAGAAATTGTGTAAGCACGTTTAGCGCACCATCAACTGGAAATTCCTTCAAGGCATCAAGAGCTCTTTCATCCAGATCAATATGAGCTAATTTTCCCGTCTTATAAATTTCATCCAATTTGGCAGCCACTTTCTCGTCTAGCCCGTATTGCATGAGTTTGTTAAAATCTTCTGTCCGTTCTACATTTTCCATTTCTTGTTTTTCTTCCATTTTTATCTCTCCATTCCCTTCTGCCATAGCTGAAACAATATGTTAATAAAAAATGTTTAATCTCTCTTTTGTCGATACATTAATTGAATTCGTAATGAATTATTTGGTTATATAATATATATCACAAAATATGTGATACTTGTACAAATTTTTGTTACAATAAATAATAAAATTTTTATTAAATAACGAAATATTCTTTTCACAACAAAATATCTATAATATTTAATATGCAAATTCTAATACATATTGTGCAACAATAAGATACTATTTTTTAATATTTCTGTAACAATGCATGATATTGATTACAATTTACTCTTTTTATTTTCATTGGAAGATAGAAAAGAAACAAAAAAAACTTGTGAACAGATTTCTTATTAATAAGTAAGACTGTATAAGTACAGAAAATAATCATTAGCAATCAATTTTAAACATATATATGCAGACAGATCTATTAATTACAAAAAATACATAATTTACAATTTAAGTAATATTCTTAACTCGCGCAATCACTATTTCGAGCAAATCTAAATTGTCAATTAAACTTCAATTATTCTCATTCTTTCAAGAGAAATATTTATACATAAAAATTTATTTCTAACGAAAAAGAGCGTTCTCTTAAAATGTAGGACGATAAAGTGTCTGGGAACAAAGTCGGAAAATGAGCCGGTGCGTGAAGAATCACAAATACTCCGATCATGTACTTGACAATGCACTTCATAATGCATAGGTGTGAAATGTATGAAAGAAAACTGGAAGAAAAGATCTCACACGCACATACACACTGCACACACAAACGCGCGCGCGCGCGCGCATATAAAAAAATACACACATGTATATATATTTATACACATATATACGTCGGAGTGCACAAATCGGAGCAAGAACCGTCCGCGATCGGACCTCCCTGGCGTACCAAACTTGAAAATAAATAACTAAAAATATCAAAGCAACCGACTATAGACATTACATTTCCGTTTGATACGAGAAACAAGAAGAGCAGGAACCGAGGAGGAAAATTTGTGATGCCCAATATAATGCTGCACGTTATCGATGACACTCGCAGTCCAGCCCAACGATTAGGCAGCAGGACGATTGAACGCGATCGCCGATCGGTTGGCGTAGACCACAGACGGTAATGGTGACGGCAACAGCGCGGCAACAGCGCAGCGTAGCGTGGAGCGGAGCAGAGAGGAGAGGAGAGGAGCGGAGCGGAGCGGCGCAATCGCCGCTGTAGCAAAGAATTCGCGCGGCAAGAATTGTCGCGGTGATATTATTCTTCTATCCTCTCCAACGTCGCCGTTATTCTCACGACGAGGCTCGCGGTTCCACTTTTACCACGCGCTAATTCGCCGGCCGGCGAAATGCAATCGCACTCCGCACAGCGGCGGCGGCGGCCGTCGCCGTGATGCACTTCTATGCACTCCAGACATATGCACTTCGCAATGCATTTATCTCGGTATTCTTCACTCGCGCTCGCGGAAACGTAGTGACAAACGGCGCCGTGGCTCAAACGCAGAAAATTAACCGTGCCGATGATGTAAAACGAACAGCGATCGTTACCTTGCAAAATAAACGAACGGGCTCCTCCGCGCGAGGAAATGGCGACAGACGTCAACGTGATTGCGGACTACGGGGTTCACAAAACGACGCGCAAAGATACGCTCGAACCCAGCGATACGACGTTCGCCATTTTCTTGCCGTGGCTGTGCGCGCGCGAATTCTGATTGGCGCCCGCAAAATTACTCGACGGGAATGAAAGGCCGACTGTTCCGCGCGTTAAATCGGAGTACCGCGCTCGCAAAATTCGAAGCGGAGTGCGATCGAGAACTTGCTCGCTCGCTTATTTATACACGTATGTATGTATGTGCGCGACGAATGTCGCATGAAATTGGATACTCATGATGATTCGCAAAAATACAACGAAATTAGTTTCTCAAAATCGAAAATGTGACGAAACTCAAAACTCAACACGAATTTTGCTACACTTGTCACTCGCAACATGAAACGGAACATCTGCAATCGTGCAAAAATCTACCACGAGGTTAAGGGTGCACATTTTACGTGCGTCTTTATAGGAGAAATGCGATTGGATAATTTTCTTTATGCAAATGGTTATGCGGCTCTGCAAGTTTGTGTGGAATGGCCCTAAAGCGGGGAGCAGACTCCTGCATAACACATGAGGCATAAGAAATTGAACCAACCAGAGTTCTTTATTACATGGAAAGAAAGGAAATGAAGAACTTCGATTGGTACATTTTCTTATGCATTACGTGTTATGCAAGAGTCTGTTTTAACGTAACTCCCTGCTTTAACGTAATAAGAGAGTTGCACAACTATATTGTGAAATAATTATAGCACAAGTCCGGATCTACAATAGATGTTTTAAGCCTTAAATCGTAAGAAATTGATCAATTACAATCGTATTCGAGGAGAATAATCAACTATGATTCGTCCATTTCTTATGGCTCAAGGGTGCCGTCACATGCGGCGTAACCTGCGTAAGCGTAATGGTACGTTTCCATTGAGCTCAGTGGAAACGTACCATTAGGCTGAGTTTCCACTGGATGCGTCACGCGTCGCGTCGTCGAAGGAGAGAAAGAGACGAGTTGTGTATTTATATAATCTTATCTCTTTCTCTCTTTCATGACGCGACGCGTGACGCGCTCAGTGGAAACGTACCATTACTCCTGTCGACCCTTAAGGCCGCAGCACAGACTTTTGCATAACGCATAGTGCATAAGAGAATCAACCAATTAAAATCTTTCCTTTCTTCCCATGGAAAAGAATTTCAATTAGTCGATTCCCTTATGCACTATGTACTATGCGTTATGCAAGAGTCTGTACTGCGGCCATTAAGCGGGGAGTACAGACTCTTACATAACGCATAACACATAAGTTATAAGAAATTCAACCAATCAAAGTTCTTTATTTCATGGAAAGGAAGGAAACGAAGGACTTTTATTGGTACATTTTCTTATGCATTACGTGTTATGCGTTATGCAAAAGTCTGTTCTCTCCGCTTTAAGGCCGCAGCACAGACTTTTACATAACGCATAACGCATAGTACCCTAATAATACGGGGATGTCCTATTGGACATCTTGTGAACGTCTTGCCGGCTAAACGGTATGTCCACAGGATGTCCTACTGTAGTAATTTAACGTCAAATTACTGTAAGAAATAAGCAACAACACGAGAAAAATATTAGGGCGCTCCGAGTCTCGTACCGAGGCCTGGTCTCTCCTCTGAGTTGATAGACTTCCGTCCTACCATTGAGCCACACAACCCCGACGCTGATAGTTTCTCTGTTATGCCCATTTCCTCTAAATTTCTTACACTACCCTCTTAATTTTTAAATAATAAAACTAACTTAGTTAATGTATATAAAAATGTATTTAATATGTTTTGTAGTTAGCACATGATCAGGTTAGTATCAAAGAAAAGGACAAGTACATTCTATTGAAATATTTAAAACTGGTTCTTTCAATTAATGTAAATATTAAGTTGTATATAGTTTTGTAACATACATATATAATACATTATTTGTATATAAAAAATTTTTACCGAAGTCTTTTCCGCAGGACGTTCTGAGGACGTTCTGAGACTGTCCCACAAGGACGTCCTAAGAAAGTCCCACAAGGACGTCCTGAGACTATTCCAACGACGTCCTGGGGCTATCCCCACGATGTCCTGAAGTTGTTCAAAGGACGTCCTGAGGGTGTCCTGAAGATGATGCCTTAAGAATGTCCTCAGGACGTCCTGTGGAAATATGTATGTCTATAAAATGTCCAGGATGTCCTTCTGTCCGGGACATATTCAGAATAATCCTGAGGACGTCTTGTGCTGTTAGGGTACATAAGCGAATCAACTAGTCAGAATCTTTCCTTTCCTTCCATTCCATGGAAAAGAAGAATTTCGATTGGTTGATTCCCTTATGCACTATGTACTATACGTTATGCAAGACTCTATTACTACGTTTACACGGCACGCTTTACGCCTAAGTTACAACATCGATGTTATGAAATTGGCCAATTACAGTCATTCCATTCTTCAGAAGAATAGCTATGATTTCTATAATAGGCCAGTTCTATAATATTGATGTTATAACTTCGGCGTAAAGCGTGCCGTCTAAAAGAGGTCTATGCTACGGCCAATACCTTATACTGAAAATGTTACTGGTCTAGTTAACATCGTGCACTTGATACACACGTACTAACTAGTAATTTTCTATTAACTTATTTTAATTTTGGCAACGTATTTAAAGATTAACGATGTACTAAATTGATACAATATATATCATGAATTTTTGAACACTCGGTGCCACACGGTTATGTACCATATGTCAATGTATGCCGAATTTGTCATTAGTCAAAAAAATACAAGATTACTACTTTAAAAACAAAAATTTACTGCTTTAAAAATACAAGATTACTGCTCTAAAAATACAAATTCACTGCTTTAAAAACACAAATTCACTGCTAATGCAAAGAATTTTTGTTTTTAAAATAGTAATCTTGTATTTTTAAAGCAGTGAATTTTTGTTTTTAAAGCAGTGAATTTATGTTTATAAAGCAGTGCTTTGGTGTGATTAAAGCAGTGATTTTGTGTTTTCAAAGCAGTAAATATATGCATAATATTGCATAAATTTTTAAAACAGAATATTTAAAATGTATACCTTTTTTAAAATGTATACCTTTTTAATTTTTTTTATATGGATTAAAATTTAAATCCAACATTTCGTGGAAATAAACGCTGTAGCTATATACACGACTTCGTCGTTGTCGTCCAAATTCCTATAAATTTTGAAAATTGCTACAAATGCTACATAATATATTATTCAATCCATTAATTAATTAAAAGTTAAAGGTAAAATGATATTACCTCATGATTTAAATAAAAATTAACCCGGCAATGAATTTCATATTTTCGATTTCTTGTATATGCTTTCTTTAACGTAAAAGCTAAGATGTCATGTAAAAAGTCTTCCGATATTGCATTTAAATATGCAAAATTGACAAGAATCATTCGTTTGTGGTCAGTTAAATTACGATCTCAGAACAATTTCCGTATAAATTTCGGCCACAATTTTGCATCCCCAACTATATCTTGGACAGCAAGCCAAGGATTTTTGTTTAGTTGCTCTATTAAATACGGCATTTTACAATTATGATCAAATTGCAATCTACAGAGTAGTATTTTATCTGCTTACAGAATACGCGCGCGACCACAGCGCATGTTCATTTTCGAAACATAGGTCGCGTTCAGTAAATTCAACTTTTGCGAAACGGATCTGTACGCGCTCGTTGTTATTGGTGTATTCTTCTAGACCTGTCTAAATCACTAACCAATAGTAGCGAACGTTCACAGATCCACTCTGCACAGTTGAGTCGAGTTGAGTTTGATGAACGCGACCATTTAGTTAGAATGACAGGTATTTTAACATATAAAATTTCGAAATTTAACGCTTAATATCTTGGTTCTTGAGGCCGACCGCCGCATTTCTTTTCCAGATTCTTTCATTGTGAGTGAAAACGCGTTGAATGAGCCCAATTTAATCAAAATCGGAGGTGAGGCCCCGTATTCTAAATAATTACCGAATGATGTACTAAATTGGTACAATATGCATTAAAATGATTATTTACTTAAATACACATATCATTTAATTAAATATACATATCTAACTAGTAACTTTCTATTGAATTATTTTAATTTTGGTGATACGTGTAAACATATACATGATATGTGTATTTAATTAATCATTATTATGATGTATAACTGTACCAATTTGGTACATCAGACATTTCAAAGTATCGCTGAAATTAAAATCATTCAATAGAAAGTTACTAGTTAGTACCCGTATCAAATACACGATGTAAGGCCATAATGTCTTCACTGCTTTTCAAGATATAAACCTTTAATTCTAATTTTAATCTGAATTTAAAAGCAGTCAAAATAATCAGATCAAAATAATCCGCCAGCGTTTATACCAATCGTAACAAGTGGCTGCGTTCAGCAGACTCAGCAGTTTTGCAACCGTTTTATGATTCGTCGCGCTGATTGGATTATACGTTTAGATTTAAAGGAATAGTCCTATCTGTATATCTATATGCGAAGAATCACAAAACGATTGCAAAATTGTCTGCTGTACGCAGCCATTGATTTGGTACGAATATGGTACACTTAATACGCGTATCAAGTGCTTGGTGTAAACTAGATGCATAACACGGAGTAAAAAGGAGCTCGAATTCAAGGATGAAACATGAGCTCGAAACATGGCTTCGGAAAACACATGAAAATTCGGGCCAATGCGATTTTAGTGTCGTTGCGGCAAAAGTTGGAAGTGCACTTGCCGACCGAAATGCCTTTCTACTTTCTACGTTCTGAAATTCACTAAATTTTCCATAGTATACGTATACTATATGAAACGCTTCCGCATTACAACTCAGCAGAAAGGCATTAATGACCACTAGGTACATGCTACATGATAACGCGAACGGAATACACACGGTTAACTCTTAACTTAATTTTCATCTCTTTCCAATTCTAGCATTAGAAAGAGATGAGGAATAAGTTGAACCTCAGTTAAGAGTTAATCATGAGTTGTGAAACTGGTGCCCTAATTTTT